GGACAACTTACTCTCTTTATCTCTTTCAAAATTGTTAATATCACTCTAATATATCAACCATTAGGCTTTTCACTCCCCCGAAGGTTAACTTTATGTTTAACCTTTCTCTGACCGATCTCCTCTTTCACGTGACTTTACTTTTTCTCTCTGTTTCCCCTCGTCTATTACTTAGGCCTTCCAGAAATCTCAATAGCCTCTACATCAATGGATTGCAAACACAACGTTCGATAGCCTCTACGTCAAAGAATTACAAACACAAAATAAATAAATTAATACTAATACCTACACTAAACACTCTTTTATATCTGACAACTACCCAGGAGGCCTTCCGACTAATTAAGAAAAATGTGGAAGAAACCATCTACAGAGAAGAATTAGTTTTGCTACAAATGTTAGGCCCAATGGTTTTTATTCTTTCTAGAAAGTTATGTCTTATTGTTAGTCGTAGCTGGTTGTAATCCATACATTCAAACATTACATATTTTCACAACACTGGTTTGTCAGAACTGAGTAGTTAGGAGAAGTTTGCTTTCTAAAAACAACAACAACAAAAACACATTTTACTTTGCCTTAAGTCTTGCGTTTTCCACGCAGTTAATAATAAATATATTTTTAGTGGGTATATACCAGTTTAGTAGGTATATCCTTTAATTATAACTGTGAAAATTTTACTTTACCAGTCGATAGACGCTCCACCTTCATGTAGGAAGGGTTTCTAGTGAAGTTACATCATGGCCCAAACCTCCTGTTTCACTAGCTTCTTGAAATCAATAAAGTCTGAGAATAAGTTGAAACTGAGATGTAATTGTTAGGTTTCTGAAATTGACATATTGAAGATGAGTGTTGTTTTACCCACATAGACAAAGCATTCATCGATTTCTTTTCTCAACATAAAATGAGTAAACTTCGTCAAACGAAATAAAGCAACTGAAAAAGAAGTCTTTGGACTCCGATGTCTTATTGTTAGTAAAATAATCAAATGACACGGTGTCAAGCACTTCTTGTATCGAAAGACGATTAAAATTGGATTGAAGACACAAAATCATACAGGGTCACTAGAAATAATGACTTCAGAGAACCAAGTCACAAGCGATCACCATCGTCTCCGATTGAATTTTCTTTATAGAAAAAATATCGGCAAAGTTTGACTGATTAACCACACTATATCAATAATGTATTATGGTTGACTTATAAGAGACGTACATATAATTCAGGGATACTATTACCATCGAAATTATTCGATAAGTTTATTGTTAATAGGTTCGTATTCCAATGTCATTCAACATGTTTGCTAACATATTCATCCCATCAACTGATGTCAATTGTTCAGAGATAGAAAACCTAAATGCTAATCTTAATTCTACGGTAACCAAACATATGTTGTACCTTTAACAAGGTTAATTTTAATTTCACAATAACGAAACATATGTTGTACCTTTAACAAGGTTAATTTTAATTCTACAATAACTAAAACTGTGTTGTACCTTTAACAATGGCAATTTTAATTCTACAATAACCCAATCTGTGCCATAATTTCTTTCAGATGAAACTTTAGCGACACAAGTCCTTTCTTAAAAAAAACTGGTTTATTCTTTTTGAATATAACTTTACGATACAATTAATTTCAACATTCACGCTAAAACAAACGCTATAACA